CTAACTAAACTTTAACTCTAAAAGATGCAACTCTCGGCTCGGAATTCCAACACAGTATCAACACAGTATCATCACGACTGCGATTTTTCACTTTGATAACAGCACATTGATTAATTCCCCACGTAACGCGAGCAGTTGGTGAGAGTCGTTAAAACATCTAAACAAAAAAAACACCTTGATAACCTATTATGAAAGATTATACTGGAATTTGCACACACCGTACCGCGTTCATTCATAGATTCATGAGCAACCCTTATCGCGTTGTTAGCACATTGGGTCATGGAACAGTTGAGTATTCTGTAAAGTACGCAAGTACGTGCGGCGATCAGTAACGAAAGGTACTTAAAGATTATATGACGATATTCATACAAAAAGGTGATCAAAACAGTTATTATTCCCAAAGGCACAAATATATCAACAGATCCATCGGACAGATTATATGATTACCGAAATGGCTTAGAGTGAGGGTGTGCGGTGGGGTGCGCTCTCTCCGCTGATATCCTTATCTTGGGCCAACGTTTAATTAATTGTGGATCAGATCACCTGATAAGGAAGCCAGTTGGATATGCTATTCCCCCACGTGAGCGTAGCTCCGTCGCGAAGGTGTCAAGGATTAATTAGTAATGATGGATCGGTTGGTAATTTATGCGATTAGAAGTACAGCCCAAAACTAAATATTAAGGAGGAAAATTACGAATATACTTATAAACGACGGAGTGTTCACTCGGTCTGCCGCGATGCCTCCACGGCCACTGATGGTTTGCGGACTTGAGCATTGGCTTTTTGGTTAAGAACCCGTGTATGTTTGAGGGATATAAATTGTGTTGAATAGTCAGTGTTCGGAGTTGATTCTTTGCGTCAAACAGACGCCTGGTTTGTCGTGTGGTGGGGGGCAGTGCGCGTCATACATATCAGTCGGCCCACACTGGTTGACGTAGGTTGACCAGTTAACACGTTGTTGTAGTTGCGATGGCCCGTCGGTAGATGGCGCACACAGCTCGCTCGTAGCGTGCGCGGTGGTGCCGTCGGCTTGGCGGCTGGCCCACGTTCCGCTCTTAGCGGGCACGGTTGTATGATCGGTAGATGGCGCTCGTCTGCTGGTCGCTGGCACGGGAGTGTCGCTGAGTGTTGACCACCGGTTGCGCTATCGGGCGCTGGCGATACACGTTCGTTGCGATGCTAATTTTGATGGTGCGACTCGCACCGCGTAGCCCCGTCGCTAAACAGCGAGTCTCGCCATTCTGGCGGGCGGTAGAGACTTCTTCTGCGTCGGTGGTGGTGGATCTTCTGCAAGGATGAGTTGAGCTGGTAAGCTGGTCTTGTCCGCTTGCTGATGAGTTGTGTCGCAAAGTGGCGCGCAGTGGCGCGAAGTGGCGCAAAGTGGCGTGAAGTGGCGCACAGTGGCGCAAAGTGGCGCACAGTGGCGCGAAGTGGCGCGAAGTGGCGTGAAGTGGCGCGAAGTGGCGCGCGCTGGTGCCAACAGTGGCGCAAAGTGGCACAAAGTGGCGCACTATGGCGCTGGTGGCGCGTGCTGTTTCAATGCTGTAGTGTCCTATTTTATGCCAAAATCCCTCCTCTTGGCTCCTCCCCACAAGGCGGAGCTTCTTTTGATTTAGCTGTGTGTAGTGGTCTGGAGTGTGTGTCCGTATGTGCGTCCGTGCGTATGTGTGTTCTTGCGTCATTTACGGCATGCTTCTGTTGCCCTCGTCTTTCCATAAACCATAAAAAAACAGATGTTACAAATCGTCTCAAGGGCGTCTCTCTGTCTGTGTTACACAATCTGGAGGGAGGGGCGAGATTCCCTCCTGTTTGACCTTCCCCGATGCCCAAAGGTTGGTTAAGGTTTTTAAGTTAACATTTTATTCCATCATAGTTCATTCCATCATAGTCTTACAGTTATGAGTCTGTATGTGACTCGAGGTCTGTTGTGTTAGGTTTCCATCGTGGTGTTTGATTTTATTTCAAGGGAAGGTGCTCTCTTGAGCATATGCATATTCTTATCATGTGCTGCAGGAAGACAAAGGCGGCCGGGAGACTCTCTTTTTCCCTGGCCCCCGGTTTAACATCGCTCAAGTATCATGTAGTTTTATGTTCGACAAGGTTGTGATTCACACTGTTATTCCTGGCCTTTCCTCAGTTTTTTTTTATTAATTTCGTCTTTTCGTGTGCATGCTTATTCTTATATCATTTTATTTCCGATATCCTAGGTTAAGAGGTAGGTTTCTTGATCCTGGGAATTCGTATTCCTTGGTGTCTGCAAGGTTATATAAGCGGAATATAGTTTACGGTGAATGGCGTTAATGTTGATGTTATGTATGAAATTATGTGTTGTGATTTCTTTAACTTAAAACTTGCTCGCCTGGGGTTTTGCTGACATACGCTGCATATTCCAAGGCATCTCTACCCACGCCCCCTCCTCTCTGCTTGCACGTGTGGTGTGTGCGTTGTTTATTAGGTTTAGCTCTCCCTTGAACACAGATAACCTGTGATAATTCCTTGCCTTTTGGTGCTATCTTTGCTCTCTCACACTGCGGGAATACAAAGGCGTCTCTCTTTCTCTCCGTTGCCCTTGGTTTACCATCACTCAAATATTATTTGTTTTATGTTCGACAAGGTTGTGATTCACCCCGCTATCCTGGCCCTTATGAATTTTCGTCATTCCGTGTATAAGCTTTATCATTAATTATCGTTCTATTCTCGATATCCTGAGTCAAGAGGTAAGCCTCTCGAAGGTCGGAATTCGGACTCCTTGGTGTCTGTGGGGTCGGGTAACGGGCAAGGGCATCGTCATTTTAAGGTGAATAGTGTTAGTATCAATGTTCTGTGTGACTATGTCTTGTAATTTCTTTAACTTAATTTGTTTGCTGAGGTTTGCTGATGCCTTCGTTCGTAAGGAATTTCCCCCCCTCCCCCTCTCTGCTTGCGCGGGGTATGCCATTCGTCTAATTAATTGGGGGAGTGTTGTTATGGAGTCCTAGCTTTCCCGTGAGCGCAGGTGGCTGCGATAATTTCTTGGCTCTGGTTTCTGTCCGCTCTGCCGCTCTGTGGGAAGACAAAGGTGGCCGGGAGGCTCTTTCTCTCTCTCTCTAACCTTTGAATTAACACTGCGTTATTATTTGCTTATGTCCTGAGGTTAGAGAATTCGTTTTGACTTAGGAAAAATTCTGATTGCCATTTGCTTCGGTCCGGTTGTGCAGAAACTATTAAAGATGAATTAACATTCAGTATTGAATTAATAAATGGGCAATGGTTCATTGATGTAGCTCGAAGCCTGGTCTCCAATTGGAGCGAGCGTGATGATCGATCATTTTAACCTACTCCTGTTGTTGAATATCGAACTTTAACATTACTTTAATAGCAATGCAGGGTAAATGATTTAGCTGTTTGGCTTGGCTTTGTCTGCGGCTAACGCAAACTCTCGGCGACCCTGGGCTTTGCGTTTACGTTAATCCTGCAGTTTGCTGTGCGCTGCGCTTGGTCTGTGACCTCTGACCCCGGGCGTGTTTGTGAACTGTCAAAATTATGTCAACAGGTCAGGGTAAATCGTACTTTGGCAACCGGGCGATTCTCCGATTGCGTGTTTTCATTAATTATTTCGGCCACTTAAAAAAAACCAATATATCGGCAAATATTTTATTGATTTTAATTGTGGAAAAAGGGCAAAACCTTTGTTGGCAATCACAGAGGTCAGACGTTTCTTGTAGTTGGCCACCAGGTTTGCAAACATCTCAGGAGGGATTTTGTCCCACTCCTCTTTGCAGATCTTCTCCAAGTCATTAAGGTTTCGAGGCTGACGTTTGGCAATTCGAACCTTCAGCTCCCTCCACAGATTTTCTATGGGATTAAGGTCTGGAGACTGGCTAGGCCACTCCAGGACCTTAATGTGCTTCTTCTTGAGCCACTCCTTTGTTGCTTTGGCCGTGTGTTTTGGGTCATTGTCATGCTGGAATACCCATCCAGGACCCATTTTAAATGCCCTGGCTGAGGGAAGGAGGTTCTCACCCAAGATTTGACGGTACATGGCCCCGTCCATCGTCCCTTTGATGCGGTGAAGTTGTCCTGTCCCCTTAGCAGAAAAACACCCACAAAGCATAATGTTTCCACCTCCATGTTTGACGGTGGGGATGGTGTTCTTGGGGTCATAGGCAGCATTCCCCATCCTCCAAACACGGCGAGTTGAGTTGATGCCAAAGAGCTCCATTTTGGTCTCATCTGACCACAACACTTTCACCCAGTTGTCCTCTGAATCATTGAGGTGTTCATTGGCAAACTTCAGACGGGCATGTATATGTGCTTTCTTGAGCAGGGGAATCTTGCGGGCGCTGCAGGATTTCAGTCCTTCACGGCTTAGTGTGTTACCAATTGTTTTCTTGATTACTATGGTCCCAGCTGCCTTGAGATCATTGACAAGATCCTCCCGTGTAGTTCTGGGCTGATTTCTCACCGTTCTCATGATCATTGTAACTCCACGAGGTGAGATCTTGCATGGAGCCCCAGGCCGAGGGAGATTGACAGTTCTTTTGTGTTTCTTCCATTTGCGAATAATCGCACCAACTGTTGTCACCTTCTCACCAAGCTGCTTGACAATGGTCTTGTAGCCCATTCCAGCCTTGTGCAGGTCTACAATCTTGTCCCTGACATCCTTGGAGAGCTCTTTGGTCTTGGCCATGGTGGAGAGGTTGGAATCTGATTGATTGAGTGATTCTGTGGACAGGTGTCTTTTATACAGGTAACAAGCTAAGATTAGGAGCACTCCCTTTAAGAGTGTGCTCCTAATGTCAGCTCGTTAGCTATATAAAAGACACTTGGGAGCCAGAAATCTATCTGATTGAGAGGGGGTCAAATACTTATTTCCCTCATTAAAATGCAAATCAATTTATAACATTTTTGACATACGTTTTTCTGGATTTTCTTGTTGTTAGTCTGTCTCTCACTGTTCAAATAAACCTACCATTAAAATTATAGACTGATCATTTCTTTGTCAGTGGGCAAACGTACAAAATCAGCAGGGGATCAAATACTTTTTTTCCCTCACTGTATAATTCGAGTACGACGTTACGCCGGAAATGACCACGAGTCGCATCAGGTGACTGCCAGATTTCACGCAGAGCTGACACGAAGAGTATCGAATGTTTATTGACAAGTAAATTTGGCAATGAAAACCAACATTCCATTATGCTTGCAGAGAAACGTTTTCAATCTGTGAATATTACCAATTATTATCAATGGGACAGTAACAGGGACAACTGATTAATGTAATGGACCAAACGTTGAGAAGTTTGCATACAAACGTGGATAAAGATGCATGCTTGGAGTCACACTAGCTAAAGAAACAGATGCAAATCAGTGGTGCCACATGTAAGATCTAAAAAAGTGAAGTGGGCTTGGGCAGATACATCACTGGAAGGGTCAATGGTTGATGGAAGGGTTGAAACTGATGACAAAATGTGCACAGAAAGGATATCATTCGTGCTTGACAGGGATCAACGATGGAACAGCATCGGTTCATCTGCAACATTGAGATGGATCGTGTTATTGTAGATCCTTGAGGAATGGCAATACATTATTGGAATTGTTATTGGAAAGGCTTTCATCCAGCAGTTTGATGGATATGGCTGATGATGAGTATCCTCATATGGTGAGGTGGGGCTGTGACGGAGCACATGACCTACAAGCCAAATATTGTGAGTGAATATTTCAGTTGGGAGTCAACTCGACTCGTCATCCCTTAATACAAGACAAAATAAGTATCGCCTTGTAAGAGGTAAATTGTAGTGTTCCAATAGACAGACTTATCTGCCTTAGCAATGTGGAATTTCCACGGACGGCTCGAGACTGGCAATAGAAAAAAAAATAACCTGCCAATATGTGTCTGAAGCATGGAGACACGTTGACTTAAAAGTATGCTTGGGGCAGCAGCGTTTTGCAAGTGTCCACTCTGATCAGTGGCCTGCACACGACAAGTTGGCAACGACTGCTCAGGCCTCACCTGCTACCCACCAAGGTCCACCGAGGTACACTGACAACAATTAGGACGGCATGCGGCTTGCGCCAACATGTTGAACTTCTTCCGCACACTACGTCACCAACCATGCTAATCGAAGGTGCGGGAAAGGACAGCACTCATTGCTGCCTCCCCTGACCAGGCGCCTAAATTATTGGCATGCATTTAAAGGCAAAACCATTAAAGTTTTTTTTTAAGCAACTGGATTATTTAGTTTCCAGCCAAATGATTTACGATGTAAACGTTGATAAAGTCCTTTCATTATTTAGAGAGCTTTCGAGCCCCCTATATGCTGCATCAGAAAATTTAAAACAGACTCATTTGATCAATGACATGTATTTCATGCGATGAAAAGGAATTTCTGCTTACATTTTTTATTTATTGCGATACATTGTCTAATTTGAGGTTACATATTTTTAAAACAATAATAATCTGCAGCTCAATATTTTTTTATGGCACTTTTTTGAGACGTTAACTTTTCAAGGTCTGAGCAAACAGACATGTGACCCAGTAAGGTCCGTAGAAGATGTAATAAGCCACATTAAATAATTAAAATGTTTTAATATTTTAATTAAGTATAGTGTATTAATTGTCACTTGTCCCCACTGCGATTCCCAACAATTGCCCGGAGCCTGTTTTAATGAGACTATCAAAACTACGCCATACCATGTGTAAAATAATTCATGCTCTCCTGCCTGTGTGTGCAAATGGAACTTTTACTAATTGCATCAATAATTTTATAATTAAAAAGTTGTTAGTGTTCCATCCTGGAACGCTTCCTCTAAGTGCAGTCTTGATCAATTAGAAAAGCACAGAAGTGCATACTTCATGGCTTGGAAGCAATTGCTGGGACAAAGCACATCTCCTGTGGATAATGTCTGGCTCTTGGTCTATGCGAGCTCTGGAGGAAGATTTGGGAGAACCTCTGATATGAAAGTAGAAAATAGTTAAATTAATGACTTTCAGGGCTCTTAAGAGTCCATATTCCATCCTTGCTCCCCAAGCCCCCATCCTGAATTCTATTTTGGTATAATGGTTCACAAACTTTGGCTAGATGCAAGCTCGGCAGGGGCATGGGGTGTGCAGGGGACAGAATGTTGGGCTCCAAAGTCTCAGGAAGTCATAAATTAGAAATCGTGGCAGGATTAAACTTAAGGGCATGCACATGTGGAGCATATCGGAGGGACCGATTGAAAACACTTTCATTTGGTAAGGAAAAGCGGATGTATTTCCACTCAATAATGTGCTCTTCGCTGTCACCTGCATCACTTATTTTTAAAACTCTAGTTTCATTCAAAGTGCCTTTGTGTTCTCTGTGGACAGAGTACCCCAGACCAGCATTGCTTTGGTTACCGCTAGCCTCTTGTCTAGCAGTGGCCAGCTTTGGGGTGCTTTCTTTAAGCCTGGCTCACAGAGAGTAAAAGCAATGGCACTAAGCAATAAGTTTGTTGGATCACTCGCAAGTCACTCAGCTGTCACTTATTTGTCGCCTGATATGCAGGAGGTCGTGGGCCTGACCCCGGCGCCTGTATATTTGGAGTTTGCATGTTCTCTCTGTGGTCGCGTAGATTTTTTTCTTGGTGCTCCAGTTATTTCCCTCGATATTTAGAAACATACGTTTAGAGTATTTAGCTGTTTATACATTTCCACGTAATAAATAGCTATATACAATGAGGGAAAAAAGTATTTTATCCCCTGCTGATTTTGTACGTTTGCCCACTGACAAAGCAATGATCAGTCTATAATTTTAATGGTATGTTTATTTGAACAGTGAGAGACAGAATAACAACAACAAAATCCAGAAAAACGCATGTCAAAAATGTTATAAATTGATTTGCATTTTAATGAGGGAAATAAGTATTTGACCCCCTCTCTTTCAGAAAGATTTCTGGCTCCCAGGTGTCTTTTATACAGGTGAGATTAGGAGCATGCTCTTAAAGGGAGTGCCCTTAATCTCAGCTTGTTACCTGTATGAAAGGCACCTGTCCACAGAAGCAATCAATCAATCAGATTCCAAACTCTCCACCATGGCCAAGACCAAAGAACTCTCCAAGGATGTCAGGGACAAGATTGTAGACCTACACAAGGCTGGAATGGGCTACAAGACCATTGCCAAGCAGCTTGGTGAGAAGGTGACAACAGTTGGTGCGATTATTCGCAAATGGAAGAAACACAAAATAACTGTCAATCTCCCTCGGCCTGGGGCTGCATGCAAGATCTCACCTCGTGGAGTTGCAATGATCATGAGAATGGTGAGGAATCAGCCCAGACCTACACGGGAGGATCTTGTCAATGATCTCAAGGCAGCTGGGACCATAGTCACCAAGAAAACAATTGGTAACACACTACGCTGTGAAGGACTGAAATCCTGCAGCGCCCGCAAGGTCCCCCTGCTCAAGAAAGCATATATATATATGCCCGTCTGAAGTTTGCCATTGAACATCTGAATGATTCAGAGGACAACTGGGTGAAAGTGTTGTGGTCAGATGAGACCAAAATGGAGCTCTTTGGCATCAACTCAACTCGCCGTGTTTGGAGGAGGAGGAATGCTGCCTATAACCCCAAGAACGCCATCCCCACCGTCAAACATGGAGGCGGAATCATTATGCTTTGGGGGTGTTTTTCTGCTAAGGGGACAGGACAACTTCACCGCATCAAAGGGACGATGGACGGGGCCATGTACCGTCAAATCTTGGGTGAAAACCTCCTTCCCTCAGCCAGGGCATTGAAAATGGGCCGTGGACAATGATCCAACACACACGGCCAAGGCAACAAAGGAGTAGCTCAAGAAGAAGCACATTAAGGTCCTGGAGTGGCTTAGCCAGTCTCCAGACCTTATTCCCATAGAAAATCTGTGGAGGGAGCTGAAGGTTCGAGTTGCCAAACGTCATCCTCGAAACCTTAATGACTTGGAGAAGATCTGCAAAGAGGAGTGGGACAAAATCCCTCCTGAGATGTGTGCAAACCTGGTGGCCAACTACAAGAAACGTCTGACCTCTGAGATTGCCAACAAGGGTTTTGCCACCAAGTACTAAGTCATGTTTTGCAGAGGGGTCAAATATTTATTTCCCTCATTAAAATGCAAATCAATTTATAACATTTTTGACATGCGTTTTTCTGGATTTTTTTGTTGTTATTCTGTCTCTCACTGTTCAAATAAACCTACCATTAAAATTATTATAGACTGATAATTTCTTTGTCAGTGGGCAAACGTACAAAATCAGCAGGGGATCAAATACTTTTTTCCCCTCACTGTAGCTCAGTGGGCCTTACCTGGTAAAATAAAAAAAACAGTTTTGCCAAGGAGTTTATTAATACCTGTGCCATGGGTTATTGTCATGTGTCCCCCATTGAATCTCATGATTTTCTTAAGATCGTGTAAATTGTGAAGCACTATATTGTAGTTACTTGAGTAAGGTAAAATCAATGAGTGGTTTACCACGACTGGTGCATTACCAACGTCTTGATTTGTACGAGCCTGTCCAAAGGGCTATCATAATCTATATAGTTTGGGCTGGGAAGCTATTTAACAATACAGCCACTGTGTACTGTTCAAAATATAATACACACAACGCAAAAGGTATACAACCAGTTTAATTTGCCATGGTAAGACGTTTGTATTTATTCTAATACTACTGAAATTTCAATACTAGATGTTTCTATTGATTGCTGTTCTCAGATTGGCGGATTTGTGTCTTCATAAAATAACTGCTTGCACCTGTTTGTTCGATTGACCGTGAAGCAAATATTAAAACTTTTTCAGCAGTTTGCTTAACATTGCACTGTTGCTCTGTGGTACAGCTGTCTTCTTGCATGGACTTATTAATTCCCACACGCTTTGCTTGTGGATAAAGTGTACATAAGCCCAAGGCTTCAGACTCAGAAAGCTAAAGCTCCCCATTGAGATGAATTGACAAGGCAGTGGTACAATGCACAACACTAGTTTGCAAACCATATGGAGCCCTGTCAAAATTTCATCTCATACCATATTAAAAGCGATCATATGTGAAAGGATTAAGTTTTAGCAAACTGGCATTTGGCACAGAATCAATGTAAGGGCAGTGACCTGACAGGCTTAAGTGCCCCTATTGCCAATTGGAGACATGCACAATATGCAGTGGCTTATTTAATTCATCCTATTTGTTTGGTCCAATTAAGAAATGTGCCTTCAGCAATCATTATAATAATGAGTTATGATAATGCCCTGCCAGGAATAAGTATGTTTTGTGTATTGAATTATAATTTATGTGACTAGCATGTTTTAAGAACATCAGTGCCTGCATATCTGCGTGAATTCAGAATCATTAAAATTCACAATAGCAATGATATATATTTGTATCGAGGGTAAGTGCACCTTACATATCTCCTTCATCACTTGGTACCATCAGAAATCGATGTGTTTGCTGCATCTGCTTTTTAGCGATGCGAGTGTGTACTCATACACCAAATTAAGAAATGAAAATCAATACAATATTTAACCCTACAATTGCAATTTATTTTGTGAGCATTCTTTTTATTATAGTTGTTTTTTTCCATTAAAAAAAATCTCCATATATTTAAAAGGCAAAGTTGTGATTATGTGTGTCTGTTCAAAATGTTTACCGTACTTCCCGACATGCAACAAACTTGAAATTTGCCATGTGGGTACTTTCGACACTGTACACCATGCAAAATTTATTAGAATACACTTTTGTGGGTTTTTTTTTTTGGGGGGGGGGGGGGGGGGAGCTCAATAATGCATTTTTTTGCACGGCAAGTGAGCTGTGACGTCAAATCTGTCACGTGACCCGCGCACGTGGAAGCGTAACACATTGTAGTGTAGTGGTTAGCGCTCTATGTATGTGTCTGTGTGTGTCTGTCTGTGTGTGTGTGTCTATGTATGTGTCTGTGTGTGTGTCTGTGTGTGTGTCTGTCTGTTTCTGTGTGTGTGTCTGTGTGTGTGTCTGTCTATGTCTGTCTGTCTGTGTGTGGAAGCGTAACGCATGGTAGTGTAGTGGTTAGCGCCCTGTGCTACGAACCCGGCGACCCGAGCTCGATTCCCGCTCACGGCCACCACCGGTGACGATCATTTAAACGGTCCTGGGCCTCCCCTAGGTCCACTCAGCCTCAAACAATTCACTGGTGTGGTGTGTGAACATCGCCGCTGGGGAAACAAAGGCGGCCGCGCGTGGTGGATTCAAGTCCCGGGCGAAGCCGGGTAGTAAAGCTAGTACATATATAATTGCTGTATACAAATTGTTTCAAGTATGTGTAACTGAGCAGAATGTCAGGACTATTTTAATCTCCTCCCCATCACGGGCGGACGTGTTGCGCTATTGGCAGCAGAAGTTTTCCGTACTGCTCAGTGTGATCTCCCAGCTGCTTGTTGGGGGGCTGAAAGGAAATCAGCTGAGTTTTGATGTGGTCCCTTTGTAGTGGGGTCTGCGAGGGAAATTTAGTGGAACCCTTCCAAGGTGGCGCACGTGAAAACGTGAATGTCCGGAGTGAACAGCGTGCAGGAGGAACTGACAGAGAGAAAAATAAGGTGAAGTTTGGCACAGCTGGGAAAGAATAATAGACCGCAAAAGCTAGCAGCTGTTCCGTTTCATTGTGTAATGCTTTGAAATATCCACTGCTGCCTTCATTGTTTGTTTGTTGTAAGTGGCATCAATTCAGCCTGGGACTTTTCATGATCTCAATCTTGTAAAAACTGTGTAGTTGTAATGTAGGGGTGTATCGTGTTTTAATGATGTGCAATTTGACATGTTTACAGTAGAGGGAGCTAAATACTAATTGAAAGGGGTTTACGTTCTTTGGTGTGGTGAGTTTAATGCGGTGCTTGCAATGCTTTACGTATCGTGGCGTTTAAAAAAGTCACAGTTGTGTTTTTTTATGTGAGACAGTAAAACAAAGTTGGCATTTGTGTTTGTTTTACCAACACAGCTTTGTGAATTGCAATGACTCAAGTCTAAGAATTGTAAACACGTTTTACCTTATGATCAACACAAATGTATTGAAGACCACATATTGAGACACATTTACTCTGGATACTGATTTGAAATTAATTGGCAAAATATTATTTGGAATGTTTTAACTGTATGCTTTTTGTAAGATACAATACAAAAATGCAGGTTGAAAAACCCTAAACAGAGCAGCAATGAGCAACTGGTCGTAGGCTACCACAAACTTTTAAAAGGGCCGTAAAAGTTTGAGAAATTATTTTTCTAGAAAAAAAGTATAAAGAACTTTGCCTAGATCTTCGCATCAATAACTAGGGCCGACTGTAATGTCTTACGAAGGAACAATTTTTTTCACAGATGTATTTGTTTAAACAACGCAAACTCTGAAATCGTCGTCACCTTCCCTCCGTCTCCTCAGCAAGGGTGTCAGGGTGCGTCCCATTAAGCAAATGGCACCGGGTTGCCTGACGATATATGCAGGAGTCATCCATGTACGCTGTGGGGACCCCATGTCAAGTTCAACCGAGTATAGCAGATCTGCGCATTGATGGTCAACTTAATGGCGCTTTCTTGACGATGCATTTATTATGTTTCCCACATGTCAAAACCCCGTAGCTCTACTCTGCGAGGGTGAAAATCTCCACGTGGGCATAAATACATTAATGGAAAGGCCCGTTTGACCGGTTGAATTATTTACCAGCGACATAATCCCCCGAACATTACCGGCTGGAGGGAGACACGCTGCCTATTGTAACCTGTCAAATCGGCTTAGTGCTGACACGTATAATTACCGTAACAGCCGGGGCCTGCCGCTATCTCACGCGGCGCAGCATGGATGATGTTTGCACCTCGCTGCTTCAGAACGTCACCACCACCCAGTCCCCTCCACCCAGGCCGCTCCACACAGTTCGCTCCACCCCGTCTGCTCCACCCAGTCCGTTTCCACCCTGTCCGCTCCACCTCGTCCGCTCCACCCCATCAACTCCACCCAGTTCGCTCCACTCTGCCCGTTCCACCCAGTCCGCTCCACCCCATCAACTCCACCCAGTTCGCTCCAACCTGTCCGCTCAACTGAGTCCATTCAACCCAGTTCGCTCCACGTAGTCCACTTAACCAAGTCCGCTCCACTCTGTTCCATCCACCCAGTCTGCTCCACCCTATCCCATCCACCTGGTCTCCTCCTTCTGGTCCCCTCCATCCCTGCTCACAACTCACACACGCACAGCCACCCCAGCTGTTTCATTCCGTGGACGAGTTTACATTGATTATATTATTCGTGTTCACCCCAGAAAGCCTTACTTTATCCCCGTGACTCTTTTTTAGGAGGGTCCTGTCAAATTTTCCCATCAGGGGTTGATGATTGCTACATATAATCCCAATCGGGCCAATTGAGTAATTTGCCGGTATTTTTTTTCTCCAATTAAACAAATTTGGACCGTGACGCCGGCACACACAGTGGCCTACTCGTGCGAATGACGTCGCGGGATCTTTAACGTCCACCCCTGAAGCAGAAAGGCGCGTCTTTTTTTTCGCGGTTTAATGCACTCGCATGATTAGTCATGGCGGCCGCCTGAAATCGAACCGTGAACCTCCCGTGGCAAGCGACGGCTGGGTCACGCCACCACAGCCCATGGATGTGGAGCAGCTACCCCGCCAACAGAGCACGCAGAGTGCGTAGGGGGGACCGTGGTGCGTGGTGAAGCCGGGACAACCTGCGAAGATCAACAACAATAACAGAAACACGGATCTTTACCATCGCCACTATTATTAATACTTCCTTTTAACCGCCTGCATATAGGTAGGTTGATGTCTTGGTTTAACAGCCTCACTTGCGGCAGATAGAGGGAAGATGAAATGTTTGACTGAGAAGATATCGATGATGTCAGTCCACATTCATTCCACTTACAAACAGAAGGTCGCAATTTCACACCGTGGGTCAACTTAGCCCATCATCCATATCGGGCGGGAGGGGGACATTAAAATAGGTACCATGAATCCGTACATTTCTACGGTTGTGCTGTGCCGTATGATTTATTTGCATGGTAACATTACGTGATTGCAAGTCCTTAAGTTAATTCAGGTAGAGCGGACTGAGATTCATCACATACTTTGCCAGTATGGCACGGGCAATAATACATTAATTATTACAGTACTGAATTTGTGCAAAATTATGGCAGAATGGGCGGGGAGCATAAACTTGGCATATGGCACAGTCAAGTGCTCCCATAAAGAAGTCACGGGGTCGTTTAAAGTACAACCTAAAACAGTTTTGATATCCCATATAAAGTATGACTGTTAAATATACGTATGCTCAAACTACAGTATATATTAAAATCTTAAAAATTAGTATGAGCTGAAGTGCAACAAATACTTGAAACAAGGTCATTATTAATTGTGGTTGCATAATCAAAGCAGTGGGCTGAACTTATAGTTTTAATAATCTGCTAATCGTAACTTTTTTTCCGACTTAACTAGTACGTATTAACTAGAATCCACATTTACACATGTAATGATGTTGGCTTGTTAAGTCACGTTTTGTTAGCAAATACCCGACAATGTTAAGGTCGAGAGAGTGCTTGGCAGAGGATGGTGTGGCCAGCACCATGCCAAGATGCCTCTGTCTCTTGAGTGTTTATTTTTCACACCGAATTATGAACTCTCTTGAGGTTGAGTCGACTATAGGGGGAGGCACACGGCAGTTGCTGCTACCACTAGCCACTCATGCCATCCGTGGCTTGGTATCGAACACTGGTCACCGGGCTGGTGAATGTTGTGCGCAAACTGCTGAACTGCTGCTCCCTCCGCACGGATACATGCGCACACATTGTCTTGCTAGCTACGCCTTCTATTCCCATTCTATGTTGCGATCAGGTCTGAGCGTGACATACAGAACCAATCTTTATCGCCCCGTTGCATTTCCTTAGCCACATCCACGCGGTGTGAACAGTATCGGCCCTGCCACCGTGAGACTTGATGTGAGAATCGCACATTCGGAAGCATTTTTCACCGTCTCGAGCAAATCACGCGCATTTTCAGGATCGCAAGAGCACCGCGGAACGCCCTAGGAACTTTCCAGTTCTCTGTTTTCCGAGTTGTTAAAATGAATGAAATGCAGTTCCACAGGCTAACGTCTGTTGAACTGTCTCTCGCATGAAGACTGGGCAATCCCATGGACCCCCTCTGGGCATTGTCATGCAATGGTGCATCTCTCAACGTGATAGCTCTGCATTACTGCATGGAAGGGGAGTATACAAGAGCATTCATAGACTGGCTTTAGTTTACATTGATCACTGATTCTGTACACACACACACACACACGCGCGCGTTCAATACGTTCGGTCTGCATATATTTAGATTACGTGGCACGTTAAATATAGTATATTGCAGTCGGTTAATATGCTGTGTACGCACGGCTAAACAAATGACCACACACACGGAGGATTGCATTCAGAATGCATATTTTTTTCTTTGTTAAAATTAAACTTTTAACATTATATATGCAAACTTTAAATGTACGTAGTACAGTATATGCTGTACAAGATTACAGAATTAGAAGACAGTTTTCAATCAGTGTACAGCATTTTTTTTTTTTGTTACAAATGGATTAGACACATTGACACTGACAGAGAATATGGAACAATCTGAAAAGTGTGAAAAGAAGCGTGGAAAGGTGCATGCCCGTGTTTATTTATATTTATATGGAGTGCCAGAAAGTCGAGACATGGATCAGAAAAAAAATGAAAATTAGAGACATCATGTTGACTTCATAAAAACGAGTGGACTTGAAAGAATAATGGCTGATGGTCAAAGCAAACAAAGGAATGACAGTCACGAGAAGCCACACGCCTGAGAGGATGACCAATGCAGGGATGGATGAATTATTTGAGTTTGAATGCAGAAGCAAGATGGATTGGTAGGGCTGGACTGCCAGGGATGGCAAAGACTTTGCGAGGCCTAATTTTCAGTAGTGGCAGGACCATGAGCCGGCAACCAAAATAATAAGATGAGCCGTTTTTTTTCGAATTCGGTATAAACCCCCCCACACCCCCACTCAACATTTCAAGAGCCGCAATTCACGTGAATCCGAGACGGTCCTGAATAAACGAACGTCACAGAGCAGTACTCAAGGAACTACGGTGTACGGTTGCTGATGGTGATGGTGACTCAGGGCAAAAAACGACATTGAAATCGTACACACATGTAGCATGCAATAACAGCAGTAAAACACTTGACAAAAACTCATATTTATAAGACAAAGAGCAATACACTATAATGCATTTGGTAAAATGGAGTCAATTACATATTTTAATCAAAAAGGGGTGTGTATCTTAAACTGATGCCAATAAACCCGAATGACTAAAAGTGCTTTGGTGCACATTTGTGGTTGGAGAACATTAAGATTTACACCCCTGCTGGAGAAGTGCATCTGCTGCAAATTTGGTCTGTTTATCCAATAAATCAGAAACTGTTTACACATTTAAATAGCCCGCCTTGCTAGCTTTTTGAGTAGCACTGTATGGCAATGTGTTTTTTTCCCCCCATTAGTACACTGGATTTTCCATAGGCAACTTTTTAAAGATATGCTGTGGCTTTGGACACATACACAACAAACAACCTATTCTTGGTTCTTTCGGTAAAGTCACGTAGAGGGGAAATAATAAAAATAATACAAATAAAACAATAAAATTCTAACGACGTTTCGTTTCGGTTTTCACACCTGATGATGATTGCTTGTGTTGCAATCGAAACGTCGTGATAATTTTATTGTTTTATTTGTATTATTTTATTTTTTCCCTTCTGCGTGACTTTACAGAAAGAACCGGGAATATGAATCCCTGCAGTCACGAAAGATTTAAATCGAAACAAACAATCTGTTTATATCTATGGGACCGTTTTGCCAGTATCCAAAATGGAGCAACCTGCAAAGTGTACAACGATTCAAGGAGAGTTGCATGCCTGTGTTCTGATACCTGCATTGTATTTGTAACCGTCTGCCTTTTGGCGTTCTCTGGTTTAACACCGATGAGACAAGGCCATAAAAAGTCTGTCTCTGGTGTAGGCCAACTTAGATTCAAAGACAATGCGTGTTTATATATATTATCAGGAGCTGTATATGTCCACTGCTTCAGTTCACACTGTACCCATGATAATACATCACTTGTGATGATGTGATGATTAAGCGAACACTTTGGTTATTTTTTTTTCCTTGAGCAATGTTTAGCGCGTCTGTTACACGTTCAACGTTTTCACTTCCCCAGTGAAATATTACTTGTCACGCCGCACCCCACTTCATTCGTTGTATTTATCTTTCGAAGACAACGAGTTATAAACTGCCTTTGTGGCCAGAAAAATAGAACAACTCCTGATGGTCTTCATAACTGAAAAGATAGCCTAGAAAACACAGTTGTTTCACTCACAAAAGAAATGTAGATGCTGTAGAGTCACTCGCCAATGATGTATAAACACATTTGGCATCTGAAGGTAATTTAATTACAACAACAAAAAACGTTCAGGGTGTCCTGGGGATGCAAATACCGTGGGTCACTTTCAATGTTTTTTTTCTTTTCAAAGACCGCCAGTGTCAGGCTCGGCAGAGCAATTTAAGTTGTTGGGCAACACGACGCGGATCTGGCATGAGCGCCACCACAAAAAAATGAACCGAGCAGCTTGAGAATGAGAAGCACATGACGACTCTCCACGAGGACGGGAAGCAAATCCGTGGCAATTACAAAATGCCATTTACCTTTAACAAACACATTCATCTCTTAGAACATTTAGAAAAAATAAAGATGGCTTCAGTAATCATTTTAAGTTTGATCCCACTCAACTCCGTATGCATTTGCTTTTCGTATAAAAATGCTTCTCACATAAGAACACACACTTAGGTGCACGCGTGCGCTCAAACAAGCCAGAGATTTCCAGTGTAGCCACACGGACTCTTGGGACAAGCGCTGTTGGTGAGCACCTATTCAGGCTGGCACGGCACATGGAGGGGGAGAAGTGGACCACGTGGCCAGCACCATGCCCAGCTGCAGGACAGATAACACATGGGGTACTCAATTAAGGCTGAGTCAACCTAAGGGTTATCCAGGGCAACTACTGCCATTAACTGATGTTAGCTGTGGCCAGAAATCAAATTAAGTTCGCTGGGTTCACAACACAGTGCACCGACTACTCTCCCCACGATTTACTAAATAACAAAAGATGAACCCACTGCAGCCATACGGATTGGAGGAAATTCTGTTGGAAGAACACCGAAAAAGGCGCGGGAGGGAGTGGTGTAGCCGGACAACACAATTACTGATGTTTACACATTCCACCAGGTGCTCATTCAAAGTTCAATAAACCCAGGAGAGGCCTAGGACTGGTTCAGACGGTGGTCAATGATGTTTGCCATTTAGTGGAAATTATACTCAGGACAGCGGGTCCGTAGCACAATGGGATAACCGCTACACTACCACTCCACAGGACGCTACCGCTCCACCCAACTGACTATCACACAAGGACAAACACACACACACGCACGCGCACGCACAAACTCAAACCATTTAAAAGAGAAGTCTTGGCTTGGTCTGTTTGAGCAGTGCCACAAAGCTGACTTACCAAACATTTAAAGCCTGTCCAGCATGCGGGTGTTATGGCTTGGACTGCTTGACCAGCTGTTTGTGTGGGCACACCTGCAGCTCGTTACCAGCCACATCAATCATCCCATTACCTCGCCAGCGCATAAAGCAATTATGCGTAACGTAATGCGCATGATGTTGGTTAGGGCAGAGGCCGAAGGGAGGGCTGTATGGAAGACGGGTTTTGTGTGCAAGAGGGGGAAAAAGCCGGTTATAGTCTAACCCTTTATTTGCCATATCTAATTTCATTATGTACAGGTGCTTATAATTGCGTGTTGTGTGCAAACAGACGCCACTGGTTATCCCCATGAGCCAAATGTCCCGTGAAGAAAATGTGGGTGTTTGCTGCGATCGGAATTGTTTTACCATTGACTGAGTACAATGTTGATCTTGTCTCACTTGCGCAGAATAAAGTCTTATTTTAAAAAAAATGTATTCGTCAAACATAATGGAAGTACATGTGTTTAATTTCGAGATAACCTTCACTGATTTATTTTAGTGGTGCCTCTGAAGTTTACTGGGCTCATTTCAAGCGCAAATTAATTGAAGAAAAGTAAATGTTTATTTTATCTCGATATTATGGAAGTTTAGAAAGAATTACTCGCGCAAATTTTCTGCGTCATAAGTCAGCTTTTCTTACATGCACCATAATCGTATTACACGTACACTCAGGCAATTTATGAAATAATTTGTTTTCTGCTTTTGTTTCAGAATTTGATCTGCTATGGCATATGGTAGGTGTTATTGTGTAATCCTAATTCAGTAAAACTGTAATCATGTGCACTTGGGAAAACTAGTCCTATTGGGATGCCTAGCCGAGCTAGTATTTCATCATTTCCAATTTCCATTGCCCTCTATCTCTGCATTAGAAATGCGGCAGACATTTGGTCTGACACATTGCAGGACACTTTTTTTTGTCATCCATGGCTATAAACGACAGTGCATGTTTACTTGTGAATTTCAGTGGCCATGTGAAACATTGAATATGGACAAGGAACCCAGTCAAAATGTTCTCAAAATGTTCTCAAAATGCGCACTAGCCGGCCCTTTGCCATACACTGTGTATCAACCCAAGTACGGGGGATTTAAAATTGTGTTCTGCGTTAAATATTGATACTAATGTTCAACAGATATTTCTTTGAAAAAGTCTGAGCAAACCGGTGCATGCTTAATAATGGCAGTCCATTCAGCCAGCATAAAATATGGGCTTGAGTTTGCAGGCGAGTGTCGTGTGCCTAGGATGGAATAAAGTGGGGAAGGGAACGAACTTCTGGGCCCCATGGGTGTAAACCTGGGATGCGTGGTAGTGTTTTTACAACCCCACTTCTTACGAGGGCATGCAAATTTAAACTGTTCTCTGAAGAGCGATGCAGGTAGTAATGCCATTACCATTCATATTCATGGATGCGAGTTTTATATATTTATATACCTCAACACAAATACGCATTGCGAGTGAATAGACACACACACGCACACACACACACAGAGAGAGATACAAGTTGAGACACAGCCAAGCATATAAACCGCGACAATAAAGGAAAAAGTGTGTGGGAAGACATTCAGCAAAAGACCATCGTGCACTCTCGTGACGTTGCTGCAAATGCGAGCGCAGGAAGTTATGGCGAGGGCGACTTGGATTTTACGTCGTATGTTTTATTGTGTGCGTGCGACTATGGCCTCACTTACACGTGCAGTTGAATTGTTGTGCCCACGCCCTGCCGGCATAGCCACTCGTCGAAGCACCAGAGGGGCATCGGGAGGGCACCGGCGTTGGTTTGGGAGGGACTGCGTGGGTTGCTTGGATGACTGCGAAGTCTGCTGGGGAAAGGGGTCTCCATTGTCACGCGGTTGATAATCACTGATAACGATGCCCGTCACTTCGCTTAGTCGTGGCACGTGGCTAAAGTTACTCCACACTATTTGAGGGTTTTTATCTTTTGTGTAATCCCGTATTAATTTAATGAGGGAATAGTGATGTATCCCGTGTGCCAGGTAAGTATGTTAATGACATCTGTTAATGTAATCAATGTTGTTATCTGGCTTGACCACCTACATGTGAAATGGTAGTTGTTGCTCTGCATCAACATCAGCCATACAAATGAAGAAGAATGTGGTTCAATGATGTGAAATATAGTCTATAATCCTTGAGAAAATTGTGCGAGTGTGAGAACCTATACTTTTTGACAAGGATTATTCCTGACATTATTCACAAGATGAAATGACAGTACAGAAGTTTTTTTTTCAACATCTTCTTTTAAAAGCAACGTCGTCACAAGGCAAAACAATACTCTCAGCCACGTAATTATTAATATGCATCTGTCTGAAATGCATTGTTAAATGGATTTCTGTACATCTGTTCCTAAATTTTGCAAATATTTCATAACTCGTGCAATCGATGCTCCACATCTCTACAGTAAGTGAGACAAAATAAATGTAATCATTGGTTTAGTGCATTAATTAAGAAGCAGGTTGATACCATCAATGTGATCAGCTCACGTGCAGGAACGAGATAGATTGTCGCCTTGCTGAGAGATGGTAAAGTCACAGGAAAGCCTTCATCCAGCAGGGGATGGATCATGACTAATGATGATGTTAACCTAATGGTAATCGAATGTTAAAGCACACACTAATGCACGAAGATTGTAATACATTTAAATGTGTATGAATAACAAATGTTACCTAAATGTAAAATAAACTTGACTTAAAGCTTTCGTGACTGCAGGAATTAATATTCTTTGGGTCTGTCGGGAATTGCCACGTAGATAGAAAAATAACAATGATTTTGTATTATTATTTTTCCCGCAGAACCCCCTATTGGTCCCACGGACAAATATGAGTTACAGATATCCGTCCACTTTTATAGGCAAACACAACGGGTCTGCATCGCATGCTGGCGACATTCTCGTTGTGTCATATCTTTCGTCAAAAACGTTTCCACCGTCTCCGTCACCACCAATTGGGGGGGGGGGGGGGGGGGGGTAAAAGATTCGCCAAGAAAGGGCGTTTCGGGCAAATGACCAAGGCGTGAATCCAGCTCAAAGCCTACCGAGGTTTCGCAATCACGGATTTTGCCAACGACGGGGGGGGGGGGGGGTGGGAGGGGGGGTTCAGGAACCTGACCCACGTGGTTTGGCGAGGGATTGCTGTATTGCAAGCAGTGTGTGAGATGATTGAAGATTGGGCTCAGATTTACAAGGAGGTGAAAAAAAATCAGAATCAGTGCTTTTGCAAAACTGCATTTGATCACGAAAACAACATGCAACATGTTCTTGAACAAGAAAGCTTTCAATCCATACTCATTACCGATTCATGCATTTGAATAAAAAACATAGACACTGACAAAGAAAATTGAACAAAAGCTTAACAGTATGCCAAGATAACCATGATAGGCTCAAGCTGCGAAATACTAGAACAAGCATAAATTGTAAACAAAATATGAACAATGAAGAAAAATAAGGAGGCTTCCTGGCAGAACATATCTCTAGAGATGTGTGGCACATTCTGAATGGACCACTATTTTTATTATTTCCGTGTGCAGCAAGGGAGTAAAGTGTGGTTTTGTGAAAGTCCTTATGGACGTGTGTTCACCAGAATGTGATAACTGAGTTGGGCCTGTGGGTGGCTGGCAGGGTTATTGATTAACCGGACTTGTACACCAGTCACGTGGTTAATGGCGACTCGGTTGAGGATTGCCATGTATGACACAGGTGCTGTTGCATGTTACAGATTGACCACAATAAATGTGTTTGCCCTCGATTTGGAGCACCTGCCCACGTCCTTCATTTTGAGTGTGCAACAGATGGATGATGTATGTTGAACTTATTTTACACCATATGTAGCCATTCATGCTTATCAGAGGTGCAGGGGAAGGACAACAAACTAAATATGAAAAGCTGTTCTAAAGAAACGACATTTATAATCGATATTTAAGGTGCATTGCTCCAGTAGATTCCTAATATCGGAAGGAAGAGCGTTCCAGACGGCCGCAGAAGCACATCTGAAAGCGCACGATGCCGTGACCACCTCAAAGGATGGGCAATAGGTAAGACCGGTGGCGGAAAGGAAACGCACCTGAGAGGCAACATCACAGAGATGGGACAATGAGAAGTTTACGTTCGAGGGTGAGATGGATCAGGGCATCGGAGGACCGGGAGGGATGGTGACGGAATGAGGCGGCCTTCATCCAGCAATTTATAAAACATGGCTGATGATTAAACAATATGCTAATGTTGAACGTAAATGCAAACAACTAAGTAATTTTTTTTTACATCTTGCTCATTTAATTGTGTTTTTTTTCCCTGCTGGTAGATATTTTCTGCAGCCATACATTTAGTTGAACACCATTATTCCCCTTCCGTAAAGAATATTTGCATTGAATGAGTTGCTCATCTCGCATAAGCACTACAAGAAAAAACAGCGGAAGCCTACTTTGTGATATCAAACTTTTAGCATCTGAATTAACCATTAAGGCAAATGATTAAGTAAGGTAGATTAAATAAAAAAGCAGCCACAAGAATTATTAATTAGGTCTCGGGGAGACACTGGATGCACAAGGGAGTGAAGTGTCTTCACGTCAAATGTTCAGGAAAACTAGAGATGGGTGGTCTTTTAATATAAGCATAAGCACCATGTGAATAATATATGCACTGTATATAAAACAGCATGAATTCTAAGGCGGTGACAACCAATGCTCGTAATAAATGGCTTTGGAAATTTGCAAGTTGCTTATTTTGACACATTTATTGATGAAAAAATCACTGAGGGTTAGTGCATTTTGGTTAGTACATTTGACTTTGTGCATTCGGATTAGTACATCAGGGTTAGTGTTAGTGCATTGGAATATTAATTAGTGGATTCGGGCTAGGGTTCGTGCATTTTGGTTAGGGTTTGTACATTTGGGTTAGTGTATTAGGGTTACAGTTAGTGCATTATGGTTATAGTTAGTGCATTTGGTCAGGGTTAGTGCATTAGACAGTTTGAAATGGGTTTTCAGGAACTATAATTTCATTATTGAGTTTAATTTTCACATTTATTATAATGTGGATAACAGAAAATCGAAGACTAAATATGTCTCTGTTCAAACAAGCATGTGACAGTGCCATATCCACTGGTTTGCTCAGACAAAGTGCTTCAAATGACACATTAAACAACCTCCAATAGATTGGTACAGAATTTATCAACCCTCAATAGCTGTGTAAATTATGGTACACAATGCGGTAATGTTGTGTGACCAACTTAATGGCATAATTTTTAATGAGATGGATGTATTTGAATTGCAAGAGCTATCTAGTGGCCGTCTGTGTTGGTAGGGAGGCTTTGCAGTGGCTGTCTTAATCACAATGTGGATCCCAGTGTCTATCTACAATAGTCACTTGCTATGTGTCAGTAATAAAATGTTAATGGCTCTTTGAACTATGAGCACATTCACATTAAGCTATTACATCACATGTAACTATTTAACAATGTAATATCTAACGTAAATACACATGTTCTGCGCTGGTTAATACTTAAAGATAGAGCTGCAACGTAAACTTTACGTCCGTACAACTTTCGTCAATATAATAAAATTAATTACATTTCTATAGTGCATGTGTATGTACTAATTCGCATGTTGATACATGGTCACGAATAATGCTTCCCTCTGCTGCTTATGAAGCTAAATGGGAAATCTTTGTCGTTGTAAGTAAATCATTTACACGTCTTTTTCAATCCACTGATGGATGAAGGCCTCCTCATCCATGCTGCGTCGGTCGTGTGGGTGGTTTGACCATACTTCTATCACGCCGGTCAGTGTGGGCTGGTGAAGTAGAAGGGAATTTAACTCACAGGTTCAGAGTGCAGGACATTACCACTCCACCTTGCGTTACGTCCATTGCTGGTAAAAGGCACCCACGATTAATGAGTTTTACAGCTCCAGTGACATTACAAACATAGAGATAGTATTCTTTAAGTATGCATACATAATTACAATGTAGATTTAGAATAACTCGTATCGCTGGGTTCAGTGTAAGTGCTTTAAAGTGCGTCAAATATGATAGAAAGTAAATAATAGATTTTTGCATGACTTAAATAGGATATATTAGTGTTTTAATTAAATAATGGATTCATTTGAAGTGAATAAATATTGATAATTTTGATTACTGTATCGAGACTCATGGAAAAATATATTCCAGTTTTACAACAACAAAACACAATACAACAAATGATATCTGTTATTATAAATAGTGAATTGCATTTATGTGCATTCCAGCTGTTAATCTCTCAATTTTTTTTTCAAATATTCCCGTGACGCGAATGCCCAGTAGCGTGTAAGGTTGTGGAAATGTCAAGACCACAGCACTTTGGTTGCATGAAAAAAATTATAAAGACTTGTTTCATCTGTTTCCTTTTTTTTTGTAGGACACGCTTTGGCTTTTTAATTTATGTCGACGCCTCTGGTGGCACTTAATAACGCTTCACATTTATGCTGCCCCGTCACATCTCCGCTTGGATGTCTCGAGCCAGCTGCATGTTTCCTCGTTTGAATTTAGAGCACCAAAATTAACACGATGGGTTCTCAGGACAGCATTGTCAATTGTGGTTTGAGCTCAAGAATTGTGAATCATATATTACATTTAAAAAAACGTTTGTTTTCCTCCGCTTGTTTTTGCACCGTGTTTAGTAATTCACAACGAATCACGGGTAGTTAATCGCACGTGCGTGCATAGCTCACTGTGTAATACATTTCATAGATGTTTATACGGCATCATAATTTTGAATTTGGTATTGTTGAATTATGATCATGTTTGTGAGCTAAGAGTGAGCGTCTGGCTAAAAAGGTCAAGTTGTCTTTCTTCAACAAATGAGTATTGGGTGGTTGCTCATCTCTATCGGTGGTTTTGAGACAGCTGTGGAAATTCTACCTTACTTGTGGTGAGGACCAGACTCGCGATAGTCAACTGCTGTTGAATTACTATGAAGTTGTTTATTCAGTCGTTACCAGGTGGTGCCATTGGTAACAGCCTCGGAGAAATAAAGAGATAGGTTCACCCTGACCAGGATTCGAATTCGGGATGCATTATTGGTGGCCCAGTAGTTCTACCAAATTAGCTGCATCTCAGCCGTGAATATTAGCGAAGGTATATCTGGGCAGTTCTATCTTAGAATCTGAAATTGTACGTTTACAAAAGCTCAATTGAATGAAATAAAACCCCCCAAATCGAAATGTTTGAACACGAAACGTGCACCTATGCAAAGTGTGGGGTGATAAACACCGCACAACAAATTATGAAGTATAAAGTTTACAGTGATACGAGTTGTACGCATTTTTATATAAAATATAAAGCATCAAAATGACACACAGTAATGGTATATGCACATTGATTCCCAATACGCACAGTCTGTATCAATTACAGAATAGGTGCATCGGTAAAGTGGTTCGTGCACAGCACTATGAACTTGGCAAATCGAGTTCCATTCTTGGTAACAGCTAACATCAACTGTAGATCATATTTGTCAATTTCTGGGCACTTTCCCCCTTCAACCCACACTGACCAGCGTGGTGAAGTATGGTCGAACAATCCCCATGACTGTCAACCAGTGTAGGGAGGCATTCATCCAGCAATGAATTGGTGAATCATGATGTAATTGTTTATTATAAAGATAATTAAATTATCAGGTGTGTGCCTGCGCATATATTGAATGTCCCACTTCTCAAAATGCTTCAATGAACCTTCTCTGGTTGTAAGATTCCCACAACCTGAAAGAAGTTGAGTTTGTTTGTGAATGGCGATGAAAAATTACAGTGGTGATGATGATGATGGACGAGAATCTAATGCGCAATCTGTTTTGATACGCTTACAGATGAAAAATGCTTTTCATGAAATATTGTTACTTCACAAAACAAACGTTACTTCAAATGCAATGTTGAAACGAGAAATGGTTTGTTCATTGAAACCTTTGCTAAATTGCCCACTCGTAAGGTTTCCATTAAACAAATACAATCAATTAAGTTTTTAATAGAAAAAAATCTGTGATGAAAAACATATTTCAGGGCATCAGTTAGACGTTACTAAAACATGTAAAAGCTAAAATGTTGATATATAGAAGGTTACACATAATGCACTTCAATGTCTTCAAATACCATTCCTACAATAAACCATCTATATATCAAGAGTCACATTGAACTGCTGTCCGTGATTCAACACGAGTGCACAATTAAATGGACAGACGTACAATGAAGCCATTATCTTGTTCACATGTTTCGTACATATATAATCTACGTTTATTTTGAATAATAATATTAAGAAAAACAATGCGGTGCATTGATTCAGTGAGCTCCAAGCACTGGTTTAAATTAAGCAATTTGATGGACTTGAGTGAATTAATGGCACAGGCAATAGTCGGCCTTGTGTGGCTCACTTCTGAATTGCTTTTAATTGTGTGCTGTTCCCTAACGGACAGGTTTAAGGGTAAACCCCCACTTGGTGAAGTAACCAACTAACAGATGGCACAGTTGGACGCCATGCAAGTTAACGGTATTACTGAAAAAGTCTGCTTTGGAAATGAATAATCTGCAGGGAAAAACTGGTTTAACTTGTGTGCATGGAACGTATTAAGCGCTTAAAGCTGGTCGGATTAAATGTGCTTTGTGAGCCAGGACACTTAAACAAGGTATTAACAGTGTATGTCTACACTATATAAATATACTCTCAGTTCTTTATAAGGATAACGCATATTTTTCCATCACAGTCTAAAAGCTTTGAGAATCCTACGGCACCACCTAAACTGGATTAATGTCGTTTCCAAGCCACGTTCCTCTGTGCTGTTAAGATTTTCGGGGTTTTTAAATGTAAAAAATAAAATCCCCGAGCTCGGTTCAAGTCATGGTTTTCAATCACGATGAGTATGATGTTTAATTTCATAGCACAAGTTAAAGTCTCCCTGTTACTCACCTCCACTGGTGGCCCAGAATCACCCCCGCTCCTCCCAAAAAACCTCATCACGACGGAAAGAGTCAGCGCTTGTACATATCATAGGAGCAGCCTGTCCTATATGTATATATGTCTATATTTAATTTGACCAAGTCTTTTTTTTTACGCCCATAAAATAAGGCTGAACTTTACTACACTTTCAGCATTACCTTTTTTACATCTAGTCCGACATACGCTTTGGATTTTTATGCTTAATTAAAAATTTTCTATAACTTTGAAAAGAATGGCATTGCCCATGAACAGAATGAAAACGGCAAGAGTAAAAAGGTTAATTATGCAAAGTGGCGTGGCTTTAGTGGAAAGTGTTTCGAATGTTGCCTTTTACGCTAATTACGGAGATGACATTAACGGGGGGGGGGGGGGGGGGGGGGGGGGGGCATTTGATCGCGTCCCTTTGAACGCGGTTTTAAGGGAAGCGGGGAGGAGGAAAAAGCTTGTCGACTGGCATAATTATCGTGTGTATTTGCTGACCTTTACACGCCGCTAAGCGTGGCGAATGTCTCGCCTGCGAAATGCCGGCTGATAAACAGCGCGGCGCGGAGTCTCGCTCGAAGAGCTCTCCGCTGTCACTGCGGTTCCTATTCTCATTCTAAATACGCGTCTTCAGTCACAGCCTGCGTTTCTCTCTGCCGTAAAGCCGATGGATTGCAAGAATATAAAATGAAATTAAAGGAAGGAATGTGACTATTTACCCGAAAAAAGTGCAATCATTGGCAAATTGTTATTGCGTTGCTTGCAGCTACTTTTTCCATCTTCGGATGTTCAAGTTGCTGAAATGGACAGAAATGAATGCAAAACATGTCAGAGATGTGGTTCTTAAATGTTCTATTTTTTAAACAGGAAACAAAACATTGAAGTAGCTTATCAATATGCAAAGGGACCTAAGTGCTTGTAAAAAAAGTTTATATTTTACCATGTGCATAAGTAATAGGATTTAGGCATCCAGAAAAAGGCTCCCTGAGTCTCAAGCCTCCCTTTCAGGAGGGTGCTGAATTCGAATGTGTGGCTAATTCGTTTTTGAGGAATATGTTTCTGGTCCACACAGATATATTCAAGTATGTATTACTCTTCTGCCTTCTCCTGGCCAGCTCATAGCCCAAACCTATAATATTTGGAATTCACAGGAAGATGACGATGCGAGGTCAAGACTTCCTCCACGTTTTGTTTAGGCTGGGGACTTGGAACCATCACATCGACTGCCTTAATAGCAAAATTATGATCATTTATGTCCTGTAGTTATGTTTATAATTTGACATTTAGACCTGATAATCCTATACATATATATTGGGTACAATTGGCACGGTGCTGGTATGTACAGGGACCTTACAAATAAACTTTTTCCAGTAAAAAAATGAGTGTACTGACCATTCTGTAATAATTTTCTGTAATAAAAACTATTTTAAGTTGGCTTACAGCACAAGTAGTGGTATGTCTTTGCGGTGAATATATCAGGGTGTTTGGAATACTTTTGCGTAATTTTCTGCAGAGTTTAAACGGTGGTTATGGGCGAAACTGAAACGTTAAATCAGTGAAAACTGACGCAGCATTCAGTGAAAGTTGTAAGCAAATAGGCGATCCGGCTCCCTACAAGGCTCGGTGCTCTGGATGTGGCAAGAGCAAGTCTCTAAGTAGCTAACAGCGTTGCCACATTCTGTGCCAAATTCTCCCACCTTGATCAAGTTCGCTGTGTAGATTCGTCATTTTTTTTATTTGGCTGGAAAGGTGGCCACAAGTGGCAGGTGTGCTGATAAGCATATGCATCTCATGGTTGTTCATTTCATCCGTTCATTTATTGTGAAACACCTTGTTGACGGTGCGTATATCGCACGGATTATTCGTGAGATGTAAGCCTGCGTTAAATTGTGCGTCATTTCCGATGTAGTGAATATGGGGCAGCTGTCTTGTCCTTGCACGCACAGAAAGCTCATCCCACAGAGAGATACTGGAAAGGATTAACTCACTTCAGAAATTCCAGAAGACATTCGGTGGTTTATTATGTATGCTTAACTGAGAATCCAAATTTAAAACCAAAAATCTTTTTTTTCATGAAATCATACAGTGAGTTAGATACTAAAATAGACAGAATGATGTCAACCACTGGTATTGCACTTAAGAAACTAAACAAATAAAAAAAAATCCTCCCTTTTTCGTGTAAAAAAAGTAATAAAGCAAAATAAAGCTTGCTCTTTGCCTTTGAGTGGCCTGCGCGCCTATTTGAGGGCAGTTTGAGTCCTGCGGCCAAAATCCATTCCGTTTGGCGAGTCACCTTGGTGGAGTGCACCTGAGGCAAGGTTGGCTTCGGTGCGTAATATTATTGGCGTGTCGGCTCCGATAACATCAGCGGTGCCGCAAGGACGCCCAGCCGGGGCATCCGTGCACCCCCCCCCTTTACCACGTGCAGCCCCCCCCCCACCCCCCCCATTGTCACCCCCACCTGGGGCGAGTGCATGTGCACACGTGTGCGTGGTGGGGGGGGGGGCGAGCGTGCGGTGCTTTGTCGATTTGCGCTCGTTACTCGCGTGCGTTGCGGTGTCACGTATAGTTCGAGCATGCGTTCAAGCTATCGGAGAGGACATTGTGAGAGCGAGTTGCCGGGGGAAAAGGAGGTTGAAAATGTTTTTTTTTTGCTGCAAGTGTTTATTGGAATAATTGTTTTTATTCGATTCTACCCTCCCACCCCACACACACTCACTCTGGTAGCGTTTGTGAGCAACAAGTGAAACCTTACTACGGTGTTATCATCACGTGCAGTCGTTTGTTTTCGTTTAACTTTCAAATATTGTATAGTGATCAATTGCATCCGTTGTGAAATCTATATGCTGTCTATATATAAACTGGGTAAATCTCCACTTAGTTCGTAAAGTGTAGATATTCAAAGAATATTAATGTGGACTCAATTTGTTATCAAATCAAATGACAATTGGTGAGTAATTGTCGGATCGGAGACACTTGTGTGACTTGGTGCGATTTGTATACTCGCTTCTCTTGCAATTTGTTTGAGAACGAAGGCCTCGTAAAACAATCGTTATTTTCAAGTCATACAAATTCATCTCCTTAGACCTTTGCGGCTGTTTATTTCCAATATTGAATTTCTTTGGGCGGAACAGTGGCACAGTGCTTAATACAGTAAAACCTTGGATTGCGAGTAACTTGGTCTGCGAGTGTTTTGCAAGACGAGCAAATTTTTTAAAATAAATATTAATTTGATAAACGAGCGATGTCTTGCAATACGAGTAGTAGTACGTATACGCTTTGTCTGCCGAGCGTCACGTGATCACAACTTATAATACGAGTGCTTTTGGATTACAAACACGTTTCCGGAACGAATTATGCTCGCAAACCAAGGTTTTACTGTATAGGTATGGATGATATTGGTCGCGAAAGCAAAGTGGTTAGCGCACTCCGCCGTGTACCCGGTCACTCAAGGTTGAGTCCCAGTCACGTCATCCGAGTGATAACTGAGCCAGTCGGGGACACACTCCGCCTCCCATCTCCAACCCACACTGACCTGCATGGTCAAACAACAAACATGACTGACGTGTTACGGAGATGACTGCATCCAGCAGTTGATTTACAACGGGTTGAATATATGTATTATTACAGGATTAAATATACGTTGTATTGCTGCAGAATATTAATTTCCTTCATCAAGACAGTCCGTTGTTGAACGGAGAATTGAGCGTTGCAGTTGTTTTACTATTTAAATGTCAGCTATATTAAAAAAAAGTTTATTTTAATACCGCGTATTTATCTTAAACACGTTTCAAATTATATATTTGATCATATATGAGAATGAAAAAAATACCACTGATGTCATTCAACTGTTTGAATTGTAGATAAAACTAGTGAACGTAAAAAAATATACTGCTGTGAAAATATGATAAAACACTAGCAGATGAACACAAACTCACCAAAATGGGGTCTGCCATTGCTTCTGTTTGTGGACAGAACCTAATTGCAAGAGTAAAACCGTCTAGTTTTACTTGACTATATTTAGTTTTTAATAAACCAAGCCACTTGGTTAATGCAAATGCATGTGCTATAATTAATGCACACGAATCACATAAGTGGGTGGAATGTCCATTATTAACAAATGCGCATGGACTCTTACCCTGAACCACTTTCAACTCCATTCCTGTACCCTTACATAAAGCTGCCATCAGCATTTTCCCACCTCATTACTCTATCGAGAAAACAATACAGATGTGTATTTTGTTAAATAATTATATTCAACCACAAATTAGATTGTCAAACTTTGCATGCACCATAATTGATTTGTCACAATGGAAACCGAGATTGTGGGTCGTGAAGATAAATGTAGATTGGAAAATGAAACCATCCTGAGGCTTTTTCACCAAAACAAGAATCCGCAGCTCTTTCTCTATCTTCGGGGTTTCTCAGACTCCAGTGATTGCGACCCACTAAATGATACCTCCCAACCTTTGTCAATCTTTATAATAATAGGGGTTTTCCCCTTTTTTTCTGGGAACAAAACTGAAACCTTTTTACAAGGATTCATGTCTGCATTAACCACAATACCTGCAGTCAAAAGGCAAACAAAAAAAACATACTATGATAATATATGCATTGTCCTTGAAACTTATTGGTCCACACCAAGGGACGGCTTTCTTTTGAGCCTCGACCCAATTGGTGCTCGACCAGATGACGCCAAAAGGCGTACGATCAATCTGTCAATCTTCTCCGTTCGAACAAAAATTGTTGTTTTGGGTCACGTACACTTTATGATTGCTAATCACGTCCCACAATTGTAAAGATCGCGAGATGAACATCGAGAATCTTGAGCCAAAAGGTGATGAATGTCTTTGAACACATTCGTAAGATTCCACATTTTGTAAGTCACATGCAGCCAATTTTCTGCATTGGCGTCATTGTTGTTTTTAAGTCAAACTGAGCGGTCTTCGACTTAACAATACGGTACATTCTGAACTTCAGCAGAGGGTGGAGCAACTGTCACACGAACATTAACTTTCGTGGATTTTTTTTATGAACTTTGTTATTTTCTAATTATATATATACGATTTTGTCACGGTATTTTGTGTGAAATACCTTTGTACGTATCTCATTGTCTGTGTTTGTGTGTACATCCATGTGTGTGTTATCTCCATGTTGCTCTCTGTGTGTCTCTCTCTGTGTATTGCCGTGGATCTCTCTCAGTGTGTGTATCTCAGTGTCCCTATGTATCTCGTGTCTTTGTATTTATCTCCGTGTATGTCTTTCTCTGTGTCTCGACGGGGTTGATTTCTCAAGGTTGCCAGGGCAAGTGTTTTTCTTTCCCTAATGCTACCCTGGATTGCAGTGAAACGTAGACACTGGTTGGCACAATGGGCCTTCGTCACCTCCGCGTTTCTTATAATGAACTCTGGAAATGCCGAATCTGTCGTGTTTCACCAGCCATTTACAACATTTCATGGACTTTATTCGAATGCATCATTACGGTGACCAAATTGGCACTTAGCTACAATAAACACTAGCATTTAATTTTGGAAAAATCTGTTTTTGAAAAAAAAATTGCAGTTCTTAGTATCCTAAATACATCCTTTAAAAAGTTGTTCAGCATAACGAAGTGCACTTACCCCATTTTTTTTACTGAAATTATCGCTTCTGGATTAAAGAAACACTTTTACATTTTAATGAATAGAATATGCTTAAGTGAACATACGTAGAGGCCAATATGTAGCCAACAACTTTGTTTGAATGTGAATTTTGTGATGAAACAGCAGTATACCATATGAATATGCTTAATCTTATC